GCTGCACTGAAGGTAGCTTTTCATGGTTTCTTGGAACTCTATTTGGCCAAACGGTTTCATGGTGAATGATCAGTTCAAAGGTTAGTTATTAGGTGTTAGAACATCACCGTTGTCGTCATTTTATTCCCCTCCAAATCGTAAGCGATACGACTCCCAAAGTTAAGGTTTTCCCGAGTGCAAGTTCTCGATAAATGCTTAAATTAGATGCTATTCTAATGAATAATACCACTATCCTTCTTCGTTTCCCAGTGAAGTGTGAATTCGACATCAACTGCGTGATCGAGGGCGTGGACAGACACCGATACTCCCTGTTAGACACTCTAACCGAAGCTCAATGGAGGATCTGATCTGGCCTATCAGGTCAACCCAGGTCACCCACGTCAGAGTGCCGGACACGTGAAACCTCTTGGTAGCGTCGTTCGTACCTGTCACAGACTTATTTATTTATCATTTTCCCCCAACTCGGTCCTTACAACACACACAGTTATTAAAATAGCCTGCCACGAGAAAATGGTCAATAAATTATACCATATTATCATCCCTTAGGTATACATGTCAACGACGAAGCTCAGAAACATGACTACATAGTGTTAGATTCTAAGGTTGTTTAGCGTGTTAGATTTAGAATCCGTGCAGGGGTGTGAGGAGGGAAGGTCCTCTGCTCTCCTGTGGTGCTGGCTGGATGTCCCTCCTCCTCCGCGCTCTCTCGGGGGACTCAACTCGGCGTCAGATATGTGTTTACATGGTTGAATAAATGAAACTATCTTGCTATCGTGGTCAGTTATTTCACCCAGGTATCTTGATGCATGGTCGAAGCAATGCGATGGTCTGAAAGATTATTACGTGTTTGTTTCCAAACATTTCATATCACCTATCTGTTTTCGGCCATTAGTAATTTATGTTATCAACCTGAACAACAACAGTATCTCTATTTCTTTCTGCAATAAGCAGAATTATATATTATCTTCTCGATGTCCTAGTTTGCAGTGACATTCACCACCACCACTAACAATACGAAATCGTGTTCTGATTCACATCATATTTTAGTTGTCGAGGATTCACGACAACTTTTTAGGTGTTTCGTGGACTGAAAACAAATATTGCGATCGGGAAGTGTTGATAGTGTTACCAGACACAAACTGCCTGTCCTCCCATTTTCTCTTTGATTTCTATAATTCATATATGAATTCCGTCTCTCTTTCTGTCTGATTGATGAAACTGCTGGATCATCTGAATTTTATGCTTCATGCTAAAAGTATTTCACTCCAAACATGCTCTCCTACACCTCAGTTACTTCCACAGTCAACCGAATCTATGTCAATCTCGGTCGATTCTGTGCAATGCAGGATAGCAGCATCGGTCTACCGCCTGGTGACGTCATCAAACCTTCCCGCGTTTTTTTCTGATTCAAATTTGATTTTGTGGCCAGGCGCACTGCATATGGGCGACTTACACCAAAAGTGCTTGCCAGATTAAATTCATACATTGAAGAAAACTATGAAATGAATATATTCAAATATCTTTTGGCAATACCAGCGTAAAAAGGTTAACATTTTTCACTGTACAATATACCTAGGGCTTTTATAACAGACGAGGAAACTTAATTTGACATGATCAATGATAGTAGGATGAGAGGCATACTTAAGGTAATAGTTTTGTGGCAAAAGGATGCTCTCACGCAATAAATAGTTAATGGTAACTCTGCATTCTGTAAATGAAGACAAACATTTTCATTCAATATATTCGCAGATCCACAGGGAAGATAAAGCTGGTCTTGGTATTTAGCATTAGCTTTCCTATTGGTGATTCATATACAGAATAGCTAAAAAACAACAACACAAAAACGGATATGCAATTCAATCCACTGTCTATAAATGTCATAGACTTTTATTAGGTCTATAGTCTTGTCATGGTTATACCAGTGTCATACAAAGTATCCTATAATCCTACCAGCATAAAAAAAAAAATAATTTTTTAAGGAGTAAAATGCTACAAAAGAGCGGCATATCATGTTTATTTATTTGTGTGAAAATATTTTTTGTTATTGTTTTTGGACGCTTGCCAGATTTTTAAATTATTCCGAAAAATTGAAGGTTGGTCTCATCTTACGTGAAATTTAATAAGTTTTCAGAATATAACCTCCTTTTTTATTCTCTAATCATTACGTCAAATTGTCGATTTTCTAAGGTAATACGTAAAAATATAATATTTCGGTCGACATCGAAAAGGGCTGCTACCACCTAAAAAACAGCGGTCGGTCCTTGAAATTTTCAGGGGAGAAGCGGGGGCCGAGGAACTCCTTGGAAATGTGTTTAACTCAATTTCGGCAAGATGGGCGAAAAATGGCGAAAAAGACTAGACGGTCTCCTTAAGGCACAATTTTTAACCGGAACTATTAATCTAGCAATCGAATTGTGATATTTCCTTTTATGACATTTTGCATTTCTGACAAAATCTGTGGGGCAACGATGACTTACTAGACCCTATTTTATCGCCATCACCCTGAATAAATATTAATGGAAACTACAAAACGAATATACACCTCAATAATCTTTAACTTATTTATACAGCCGAAGAAATATCCACACCAGCAACCCTAGACTGAATTATAAAAGGACAAACTGACCGAAAGAAAGTAATAAGTGGAAGGAAAGTATAGAGAATGAGAATGAAAAGAAAGAAAAGAGAAAAGAGAGACGGCGGATAGATGAAAAGGGACAGAAAAAACTATGATATAAGGAAATTGCAATAACAAACACAATTTCGATAATGTGGATTTGTCGCTATATCATTATTGTAATATCATTACGAAAGGAAATGGAGCGAAAGAGAGAGAGAGAGAGAGAGAGAGAGAGAGAGAGAGAGAGAGAGAGAGAGAGTGAGTGAGTGAGTGAGTGAGAGAGAGAGAGAGAGAGAGAGAGAGAGAGAGAGAGAGAGAGAGAGAGAGAGAAAGAAAGAAAGAAAGAAAGAAGAAAGAAGAAAGAAGAAAGAAAGAAAGAAGAGAGAGAGAGAGAGAGAGAGAGAAGAGAGAGAGAAGAGAGAGAGAGAGAGAGAGAGAGAGAGAGAGAGAGAGAGAGAGAGAGAGACAGAGACAGAGACAGAGAAAGAACGAGACAGAGAGAGAGAGACAGAGACAGAGAGAGAGAGAGACAGAGAGAGACAGAGAGAGAGATAGAAGGGAGAGAGAGAGAGAGAGAGAGAGAGAGAGAGAGAGAGAGAGAGAGAGAGAGAGAGAGAGAGAGAGAGAGAGAGAGAGAGAGAGAGAGAGAGAGAGAGAGAGAGAGAAATAGATAGTTGAATAGACACATAAATAGAGAGATAGATGAACCGATATATAGATAGATAGACAGATCAATAGATACAAAAAATGAGAGACAAGGTTTATCTATTTCTATCGCCCATTAAGGAAAGGTGAACTGTAAGTTTACATTAAACAATCGATAGATAAATAATAGTCTTACGTGTCATTACCGATATCTTTATCTTTATCGAAATTCGCTCATTATCAGAAAAGTTTAGTGTAATTTCATTGCGATGTTCGGGAAGACATGTTAATTTGCAGTTTAGCTGTAAAACTGTATTAAAAAATAAATTGTTTGTTTATGCATACACAGACGCAAGACAGGCACGGACACGCATGAACGTACGTACATACAATGATATTACTCCCAAAGTTAAGGCCTTTCCCCAGGTGCAAGTTCTCGGTAAGAGCAACATTTATTGGATGCTACTTCGGAAAGTACAGAGTAATATCAATATCTAGATAAGATTGCTCAAGAGATGTTGAGAGAAACATTATGCAAATATTTGATGTCAGGAGGAAAAGGGATATATTGCAAGGTAGATAGACAGAGAGAGAGAGAGAGAGAGTAGAAGTGGCTTAATGTGTACGACTAAACTGTTCAAACGTCAGCAGTTTGGATCGTTTAGAAATAAGAAATAATAATCATATGTTTAAGGAGTTTTGTTATGTTATACATTATGTAATCTATCACTATTAGAAAAAAACGAAAACAATAACAAAAACTACAACTGCAGTCTATATATTTGCCGTTGACTATTATCATTCCATACATTTATTGAAAACTTTCTGCCGCGTCAACATCAAAGGTCATTAGCGGCACATTCAAAATATAGCAGCATGGCATGGCAGCGAAAAGGGCAAAGAGGGAAGAGCAACCGGAGTGCGAAGGCCGTTCAGGACAGACTCAGAGCCTTCCTTTCAACACACCTTAGGATATGGGCAGAAGAAGGGGATGAGGATGAGAAGGAAAAGATGGGAAGGTGATAGACCGTGCAATAATAATTAAGTAAGATATTGAAGAGTTATTCCATAAATGTAACATTAATAATTACCTGCATATTCGTTTCTCTTTCTCTCTGCGGAAACACCGGGTATATGGATTTACACAGGATTTATATATCTTTGGTTTTATTTTCTTAAAAAGTCATATAAACAGCGATACTCAACGTAGTCACAAGCACACCTGAGGCTGGGGATATAACCTTCCATAAAGATCAGTTACTTCATTAATCGGAAACGCGATCTTGCTTCTTCATATCTCGAATGGCAAACTGATCCAGCAATTTATACACTGATTTACGTAGAGTGTATAGTCCTTAGTTCAGATAACCATTAAATACTGTTTTTCTTTGATTCTTATTACTCATTTTATGAGGAAAATGAAGGAACTAATACTTTGTAGAAGAAAAGGATCCTAAAGATATTGTACCTCTCGTAAAATATCCGAACCGAGAATCCTCATGAACAACATCCTCCTCGACAAAGGAATGTCCCCTTTTGAAGAAATCACGGCGCCCCTGAAGGATTCTGGGGAAACAGGATAACGATGGGGACGTTAGTGAGCCCTCCTGCCCAGGGATTGGCCGGGACGACAGCGGAGGGCGCGGGGCTGACGACGAGAGGGGCTGGGGGCGCGGCCTTCGGGGCTGCCTCCTCGACGACCAGCTGGAGAGTCTGGGAACGAAGAGGACATTTT